TGAATTTCACCTCAGTAAAAAAATAATTTCTGTGAAGAACATATATATAAAAACCTGCACTATGTCAGAGACATAAAAAGTATTCAATAATACTATTTACTTTCTTTCCTCCCTCTTTCAGCTCTCGTATGTACTTAAAACTGTGCTGGATACTATCCTTCCCCTTAAAGGGCTTGCAGTCTGATTGGAAAAACAAGATTAAAAATGATAATAAACAGTAGAAATCAGCATATAATTAAACACTAAATTATATGTTATAAACTTAGTTTGGGAAGAGGAAAATGAATGAGGACTAGATTAATTAGGGAGAATGTAATGAAGAAGATAAAAATGAACCTGGACCATAATATATGGACAGGGTTTGAAGAGCAGGGGCATTTCAGGTAGGAGGGACAACCTGCAATAAGCTGGAATGGAGCAGTTTGTTAGGGTCCTAGACACTGCCTCAACTCCTTCAGGCGAGCTGTGAAGAAGAGAGATGATGGCGTTGAGTCATATTACAGAGAGCTTTCAGAAGAAGACCTCACATTTTCCCTAAATTAGTGTGACACTGATACAGAGTCCACTTACAGATGAGGGAAAACGAACTAGATAAAAACAGACCTAGTATAAATAAGACAAAGTAAGTATTTCAAATTTATGATGATTCAGATTGTTAGTGGGACAATTTGTTAACCATTTGGGCAGAAAAAATAGATATTTACTCTATTACAGCTTGAGATACTAAAGAGCACTAGAAAAAATATTAATAGTTTTATACTCTTGGATTGAGAAGGACCTTTCAAAGAACAATACCAAAAGCAAAAAAAAATACAAGAACTGATGAGTTTGACCACATAAACTTTTTAAACTTTTATAAGTTAAAAAGAAAGGAAGAAAGAAAGCTTAAAGACACAGAACAGAATAAAGTCCTTGCAGTAAATAAATACAAAAGGCAAAGGATTAATGTACTTAATGTTTAAAATGTTCTTATAGGTCGGTAAGATAAACACAGGCATCCCAATAGAAATATGGACAAAAGCCCTATTCACAAATAGGCAATTCATAAAAGATGGCAAATAGCAACAAACATGTAAAAACAAATCACTGTACATAATCACAAAAATACACATTAAAAACAAAATTAATAATACTGGCCAATGGTTGGCTCAGCGCCCATAACACAGTAGTTACAGCGCCAGCCACATACACCAAGGCTGGCGGGTTCGAACCCAACCCAGGCCGCTAAACAGCGATGACAACGGCAACAAAAAAAATAGCCAGGCATTGTGGCAGGTATCTAAAGTCCCAGCTACTTGGGAGGCTGAGGCAAGAGAATCACATAAGCCCAAGAGTTGGAGGTTCCTGTGAGCTGTGACGCTACAGCACTCCACCGAGAGCAACATAGTGAGATTCTGTCTCAAAAAAAAAAAGTATTGGCCAGTGGTGAGAATAGGAAAGGGTGCAGTCATACTCACATAACCAATATAACCTTTCCAGAGAGTGGTTTGGCAAAATATGTCAGAAGTGTAACCCATCTGGCTCGGTGCCTATAGCTCAGCAGCTAGGGTACCAGCCACATACAGTGGATCTGGCAGGTTCAAATCTAACCCAGGCAAACTACAACTAAAAAATAGCTGGGCATTGTGGCAGGAACCTGTAGTCCCAGCTACTTAGAAGGCTGAGGCAAGAGAGTTGCTTAAGCCCAAGAGTTTGAGGTTGCTTTGAGCTATGACACCATGGCACTCTACCAAGGGTGACATAGTGAGACTGTCTCAAAAAAAAAAAGATTCTTTCAAATGGCTTGGTGCCTGTAGCTCAGGCAGCTAGGGCGCCTGCCACATACACTGGAACTGGCAGGTTCAAAATCAAAACTGACAGGCCAAATAGGTGGGCATTGTGGCAGGCGCATGTAGTCCCAGCTACTTGGAAGACCGAGGCAAGAGAATCGCTTAGGCCCATGACTTTGAGGTTGCTGTAAGCTGTGATGCCATGGCACTCTACCCAGGGAACAGCTTGAGACTTGTCTCAAAAAAAAAAAAAAAATTACAACCCATCAACCCAGAAGTTTTATTTCTAGCATTTTATTTCTAGAAAATAATAAGGCAAGTGTGACAAAGTGAATATACACTGAAGTTTATTGCACCACTGCTTATAGTGCTGCTTCTCATGAGAGGAACCAGAGCCCAGTGGGTAAGAGTCAGACTGGGGAAAGACCTTAGGCAAATAATTGAATCTCTTTATGCCTTAGGTTTTTCTTCTGTAAAGTAGAAATAGTAATATTATCTACTTCATAGGACTATTGTGCAGGTTAACATGCTTAGAAACAGTTCCTACTACATAGGAAAGACTGTTTGATTATTAGCTGTATTATAACAGTGGAAAACCAAAATATTCTAAATATCCAACAATAAAATACTGGTTAAATAAATTATGATTTAGCCATATCATGGTAGATTTGACCTACACATTTAAAATGAGTTTATGTCTTATGATGTAGAAAGATGTTCTTATTATATTGCTAAGTGAAATATAGTAAGATTATGATGATTATAACAAGATTATGAAGCAGTATATATAGTGTGATCCTATCTTTTGTTTTTATCCTACATATACATATGGTAGAAACAGAACTCAAAAAGTATGTACATTAATAGTATTTCTCTCTGGTTAATGTGAGTGTAGTTATTATTTTGTTTATATTCTTAAGTTTTCTACAGTGAATGTACATTACTTGTATAAAAAATAGTAATAGTAAAATAGAGAAAATAGTTTAGCATTTTCTCAAAAAGTTAAACATAAGAGTTTCCATATGAACCAGAAATTCCACTCCTAGATACATAGTCAAGAGAATTGAAAACAGATGTTCACAGAAAAACTTGTACATGAATGTTCATAGTACCATTAATCATAATAGTGAAAAAGTAGAAAACAACCCAAATATTCATCAACTGAACCTATTCTATTCATCAGTAGAATATTATTCAGCAATAAAAAGAATGCAGTTCTAGTACATGCTACTTACTACATGGATGTACTGAAAAACATCCTACTAAGTGAAAGAGACCAGACACAAGAGGCCACATATGCCATTTCTATGAACTATCTAGAGTGGGGAAGTCTGTAGAGACAAAAAGGAGATTACAGGTTTCCAGGGCCTAAAAGTGGGAGGAAAGAATTAGGAGGGATGGCTTTCAAGTATGGGGCTTCTTTGGCAGATCATGAAAATGTTGCAGGGTTAGATGATGGTGATGGGTGCATAATTCTGGGAATATACTAAAGCCACTAATTTTATACTTTAAAAACACGTACTTTATGGTATATAAGTTAGATCTCAATAAAATAATGCTTAAGAAAAGTAGAATAGACTCTATTAGCTATAAGACACTAAAATTAAGAGTACTTTTAAGAAAAGGAATGTCTTTTTACTGAATTCGGTAAATATAATGGTGGATTTTAACAGATTTTGCTAAAGGAATGTAAATCAGGAAATTAAAAGTGACCGTGTATCTGTATTTCCACAGCCCCCCACACCTTCTTAAATGAAAAATTTGGACATTTTAAAACTGATATGAGAAACTTTGCTTCTGTTATCAGATTTTGGCTTTATATTTTTAATCATTTATACTACTTTTAGGATTTTTACCCTTTTTAAAATGCTCTGTTATCATTCTAATGGCTTTCTGACAGTTTTAAATGAGAGAGAGAGAGAGCTTAAGGAAGCTTCACTTTCTAGATCCCAGTTTTTGATGTGGGGAAGCATGTGAGCAATATAAATAATCTCATTTTCCCCCTTTGTGATTTCTCTTTCCCTTATCCCCAGCCTCTTCCCACTCCTGGCTTTTTTTGTGCTCCAAAATATGAAATGGGGTTAGAACATAATAGTTTGTTTTTAATTAATTCTTTCTGTAAACATTTATTGAGCACTACCATATGTCAAAGCACTGTTCGAAGGTTAAAGGTACAGAAGTGGAAAAAAAGATAAAAATACCTGGTTCCAGACAGATAACACAATACATCTTAAAGCTACTCTGAGAACAGTTAGCAGGGCACTTAACCCAGATCAGGATGGTCAGGAAGGACTTCTTCCTTTTACCATGAATATAAGGAGAAGGTTGATCTTCTTTGAAACTAAGTCACATCAATTCTGCATTTTTAAAGAACTGTTGAAAGTATAGCTCGTATTTGGCCCTTAGCACATAATTATATAAGCACGGGGTGGGGGGGAAATCTTGAGAAAAGCAATGGAGATCTCTTCCCAAGATTTGCAAATAAGGCAAAAATCATTTTTTTGATTGGCGTGAATAAAAGCAGCACAGGTGCAAAGACTGAATAAAAGTTTAGTTTCTGCCTCCTTGACTACCTAACATGTTTAAGATCTCTTAAACCATCAGAACCTTTAGGGACTCGGCTTCCCCTAATAATATACCTGCTCGATTTTTTGAAAATATCATTTTGAATGTAAAAGAATCCTGTTCCCATTGGTGTTTTTAAAGAAACAAGCCTCCTTACTTTGCATTACTTTCTTTAGGACTGATTTTCAACTGATATATACCCATATAGCCATTTGGTTGTTAAATGTTGAAACACATCCTTACTGCTTTGTAAAGCGCTCCTTTTGAAAGTTGTACCCCTCCACAGCCTGACCTCTCCCCCGGGAACTCCACCCCTGCACCTCCCCACAGTCCACCCACTAAAACCAGGCATAGCAAGAGGCCTTTAGCACCCTTGCTCTTCACTACTCTTAATCCATACTGATTGCTGGTGCTTGGGTTATCATTATTGTTAAATAATTTTGAATGTTATCCTGACTTTCTGACTGTTCGTGTACATCATTACTGTTTATCAATGTTTATGTTCTGCCATCTAGAGCATCAGATGGCTGTAGCTCACCTACATTGCTTATCCATACAGAACCAACATTCAGAGTTTTATTATCCTCTAAGTAAGCCCAGAGTACCATCTTCCTCAGTGTTCCTCAACTTGACCTAAGTTTTGTGTTCTCTTTTTGTTCTTTTCAGTTCGCTTTGCACCTTATAGGCCTCCAGATATCTCCCTGAAGCCTCTGCTCTTTGAAGTACCCAGCATCACTACAGAGTCTGTGTTTGTTGGCCGGGATTGGGTTTTCCATGAAATAGATGCTCAACTTCAAAGTTCAAATGCCAGCGTGAACCAAGGAGTAGTGATTGTGGGAAACATTGGGTTTGGCAAAACTGCCATCATCTCCAGACTGGTGGCCCTCAGCTGCCATGGTACAAGGATGAGACAGATCGCCTCAGACAGCCCACATGCCTCCCCCAAACGTATGTATTCCTTTTTAAAGAACTCTGTGCTTTGTTGGCTCTGAAATTTTTTCTGAGATATTCAGGTTAGGTCACATATCCTTTTATTTTCTGATCTGCAAAATCTGACCTGCATGTGAGGACTATTAATTCAGAGTTGAAAAAGTGTATACTGTGTTTCCATCTAACCCACACATCCAAAAGGCAAGTAAGCATGAATGGAAAAACCTTTCTTGTCAAATAAATTAATGACTCTTCCCTGCTGGCTGTATGGCTGGGCTGTCCTTTGGATAATGACTACAGCAATTGCCCATAGAGCTATTTGCATCTGTCACTTTCAAATTTTGCTCAGCCTGTGCCCAGTTCTTCTTATTACTTGCCAACATAGTCTGTTGGTGGCCTTCATTTCTTTGCTGTTGACGTCAGTGTTGCACTGCTTGGACTTGAGCTTCATTGTGTCCTTGAAAGGTTTCTCCTGATTTCTTGTGAAAAGATGCTGAGCTCTCATATGTATTCAGGCTTCCTTCATCACAAGCAGCATGCAGCTTGATGATCACCACCAGGATCTTATTTTTAAAACTCACATGGTACTTCTATGTGCCAAACACTGTCTGTATGCTTTAAAAATATTAATTTATTCAATCCTCTTAACAACTCAGTAAGATTTATCTTCATGTCACAGGTTAAGTTATCTGAGGTTCAGAGAAATTAAGTAAATTCTCCCACGTTTGATAGCCAGTAAGTGTTAAAACTAAGCAATCTGGTTTCAGAGACCATTCTCTTATCTATGCTGCCTCTCCTTATTGGTGAAATTCAACTCAAGTAAAGAAAATAAATGTAAATGGATACATGTTCTTCCTGTATATGCTGTATGTATAGAACCAGTCTAGCTAGTTTCTGTTAGTTACAAAAGAACAAAAAAAGAGAAGTTATGGCTCTGCTAATCTAAATCAGTAATCTATCCCCCAGAAACTTTTAAACAGTGACCTCCAGATATGGTTTATTTGAGATCAAGGTCTAGCACAGTGCTAGAAACTTAACAGGAGATCACTGAATACCCTCTAACATCTTGGCTTCCCACTGAAACTAGTCGGCAGCCTTGTATCATTAAGGAGGCAGATTGCGTCTTGTAAACTTATTGATGTTTAACTTATAGAAGAAGAATCAGTGTCTAGGAAGAAAATTGGTAGAATCAAAATACCCTCTTTATTAGGGTATGGTAAGAATTAGTATAGGAGTACATATAGGAGAATTATTTACCTAAGAGGAGTATCATGCTTAGTTCTTAAATAAGCTCTTATGAGGTAGATAAGCATAGCATTGTGGAAGTCAAGAGCCCGGGGATTGTACCCAGCATTCAAATTGACTATACTTTGTGAACTTGAGAATTTTACTTAATTCTTTATAGCACTTTTCTCATCTATAGAATGAAGTATGAATTAATTCTTTAAGAATTACTTGTGTGGCTGGGCGCCCATAGGTCAATGGTTAGAGTGCTGGCTCTGTGCACCAGGGGTGGTAGGTTGAAACCCAGCCAGGGCCTGTTAAACAAAATAAAATAAAGCAAAACTTGAAAACAAAAAGAATTGTTTGTGTGCTAAAATTTTGATTCTAGGAACACATCTTCATGGTTGAAATTAACTTTCCACACCTATTCCAGTATTTTCCTTTGAGTACTTAAATACCTATCACACCAAACTACTTCTTATCTGAGTAGCCCAAGAAGCTAGCTATTTGAGTGTGTCAGAAAGAAAACCAGATAGCTAATAGTCTCTCTGACTCCTCTGTATATCACTGTTGCAGATAACAGAGTGGTAGAATCATGCATGACAGAAGATAAATCCCAAGGGCAAGAAGAGCTGCTTTCTCAGAAAGCAAAGGTACCTGGGCATCCCCCTTTAAGCCTGGGAGAGCAAGAGTTAATAGAAAACAGCCCATGTGCTCCCCAAAGCAAAGATTCTTTTAAGGTAGTTCATTAAGCTGTTCTCTAACATCCATTGCTTTTTATCCCCTGAGAGTCTCTAAAAACACTGGGACACTTCCTATTCATGACATAAACATCCATTGTTGAGACTGTAGATTTGGTCTGATAGTTAAGGAGTCTGGGAGATTGGAGGAGCTAGAACGTATAGTTATGTATCCATCAGAATTACTCAGAACCAATGTTGTCTTATACAAAATAATTTTTGTTGCAATCTGTTGATCTCCAAACTATTATACAATCTACTAGCTCTACAATCTTAACAGAATCAATGGTCCTTAAAAAGGGTCAAGAATAAGTGACTGATAGAGTGCTAGCTATTGTTTGGCATAAATCTGTTGCTATATGAGCTGCCACTAAATATGTTACTGGCAGCAACAGAATTTTTTTCATTAATAAGAATGATATTTGCATATAAAAAATTGGGTTAATTTTTTTACAGAGTTTAACTTAATTAAGCTTGGATAAGTTTATTTGGAATCTCGCTGATGTTCTTAATCTTTAGTTAATCCAACCAATAATACAGTTTTTGTAATAATAAAAATAAATGGAAAATTATTAGAGTTCCTGACTTCTACCTCTATCATCTGCTGTTCTTTCTTCTACTCCCGCCTCCTCTAGACTGAGCAGTGCTGCTGTGGAAGATGTGAGCAGTTCTCCTCAGTAGCACATTGCTTGCCTCTTCTTCTCCCACAGACATTTAACCCCCTCCCAATCCACCCCCTCCTTGTCATCTCCCTGGGAAGGAACAGAAAAGCTGTCAAGACAGGCACTAGCCTGTCATCCTCCTATCCACCTACTTTCCCAAACCTAACTCCCCCATCAGTCTCCACCATCTCCCACCCCCCCAGAACACACACACCGAAAGAACAAAATATTTTGTGAAAATAGACCTGTTGTGTAAGCCAGGCATTATTACATTAACTACAGGTATACTCAGTACAGTAGTTAGGGAAGTTCTGTCTAATATAAGACTTTATTTTCCTATAACTAAAACTTTTGGTGTAGTTATTATTTCGATTTGACATCTGCCAATAACTGCCAAGCCCCCAAATAACTATTAAGTAACCTCTATTCTGTTCATGTCAGAAGTCTGTTTTGCCAGTTTGCTGCGCACACTGACTACCGCCTACCTATTACCTTTTATTTCTACTGTTCTCTGAATATCTAACAGAAAGTAAGACATTGACACAAAAAGGAGGGCATCTCCAAAAGAGAAAAGCAAAAAGACAGAGGGTACTTGAACAGTAATCACTCACAAAATCAAATACCAGATAAAAGGAATGGAGTCGGGAGAGGGAGTGAACAGGAGAAATAATACAGTGACAGACAAATCACTGAACTTTACCTCAACTCAAAATGTCATACAGTTCTTTACGCTTTTTTTACTGCCATCTCACATACTCATATCTCACTCACCCCCACCACAATAATTCAGAACACAAGGAATTTAATCCACCAGTTGGATGGAAGAAGCCTAAATTCCATCTTTCTGGTAGAGAATCAAATGAGTTCCACTTTCCACTGTTCCTTTCTTTTCATTAGCTATTGGCCATTAAATAGTAACTTCAAATATTTATTTTGGTACCCATTTTTCATGTATGCTCTAACTCATAAATGTAGTCTGTAATTTCTAGTAGAAGGTAAGAATACATTTTCTAAATAACAGGAACAAGTGAAATTATTTTTAAAGTTTAAATACCTTTATTGAGCTATAATTCATATACTGTACAATTTACCCCTGTTAAGTGTTCAATATCTTTAGTGTAATTCACAGGATTATACAGCAAATCATTATAATCTAATGTTAGGCCATTTTTGTCACCCTAAAAGAAGCCCATGCCTACTGGCAGTCAATAAACGTTTTCCCATAACTGAATTCTTTCCAGCCTGAGCTAGAGCGAGACCCTGTCTCTAAAAATAGCCGGGAAGTGCTCCAGTCGCACAATTGGCTAGCGATGGTACTGATAAAAAATAGCAGCAGGGCACTGTGGTGGGCACCTGTAGTTGCAGCTACTCGGGGGGCTGAGGCAAGAGAATCACTGGAGCCCAAGAGTTTGAGGTTGCTGTGAGCTAGGACATCACCTCACTCTGCTGGGGGCAACGAAGTGAGACTCTGTCTCAAAAAAAAAAATACTCATTCTCTGCCTTACCGCCACCTTCAGCCCTAGGTAACCATTAATTACTTTCTATTTCTATGGATTTCCCTATTCTGAGAAATTACAGTATGTGATTTTTTTTTTTGACTGACTTCTTTGACTTATCTGCAACACTCACAAGAGTGACATGTTGTAGTGTGTATCAGTATCTTGTTTCTTTTCGTTGTGGGGTATAAACAGTGGATCTTTTACATGGATCTATACCACATTTATCCATTCACTGGTTGATGGACTTTGGGTTGTTTCCACTTTGTGTGATGAATTATGTTTCTGTGAACATTTGTGTACCAGTTTTTGTGAGGACATGTGTTTTTATTTCTTTGGGGTATATACTGCATTATCTAAGAGTGGAATGGCTAGGTCATAAAACAAATGGAATTTGGAATTTAATAGATCATCCTTCAGTTCAGAGTTTAATGATTATCTGATGCAAACATCTCTTCTTTTTAATCCAGATGTGGATGCCAACAGAGAGCTCCCACTCACACAGCCACCTTCAGCCCACTCATCTATCACCAGTGGCAGCTGCCCAGGAACACCTGAAATGCGCAGGCGGCAAGAGGAGGCCATGCGAAGACTAGCTTCACAGGTACAGTAGGATTCCCAAGTTGTGGACATCCTACTTCCATTTTAACATTAGGAAGGCAAAGGTAGGATACCTTTGGCTAAGTGAGCATAAATACGTCCACAGTAACACCTGTAGTCCCAGCTACTCGGGAGGCTGAGACAAGGCATACCGTGAGCACACAGAGAAGAGTTGCTATTCTTAGAAAAATACTTCATTATGATTGGATCAGAACCTTAGAGTTGGTGCGACCCTTAGAAATGAAGTCCTCTAGTGAATAGACAAAGAAGTTGAAACTCAGGGAAATGATATGGTTTACATATGGTCACAGTATAAATTAACTTTGGTTTGAGATTTCTACTTTTCTGAAAATAATGTATGTGCTTAGAAAAATCAAATAATGTGGCTTAGCACCTGTGGCTCAAGCGGCTAAGGTGCCAGCCACATACACCAGAGCTGGCGTGTTTGAATCCAGCCTCAGCCTGCCAAACAGCAATGACAATTATAACCAAAAAATAGCCAGGTGTTGTGACGAGCGCCTGTAGTCCCAGCTACTTGGGAGGCTGAGGCAAGAGAATCACTTAAGTCCAGGAGTTGGAGATTGCTGTGAGCTGTGATGTCACAGCACTCCACCCAGTGCGACAGCTTGAGGCTCTGTCTCCAAAAAATAAAAAAATCAAATAATGCTTAAATCCAGCCAGCAATTCACTTCCTCTGCCTAACCCATCTTTTCCTCCCAGGCAGCCACTTTCAACTCCTGGGGCTGTTTCTCTGATTTTTGCCTTCACATTTCTAAGTAATATACTGCTAAAACGTTTCCTTAGTTTTCCTGTTAACCATTGCTGCTTATTATGGATGATGAGAATTACAAGTCTTTCACCTTCCTTTCTCCTACACCATCCTTAATATACCACGTTTCCCCAAAAATAAAACACTGTCGTATTTATTTTTTTCTCAAGAAGACATACTAGGGCTTATTTTCAGGGGATGTCTTCCTGTCCACGCCAAAATGCATGGCATGGCTATGCAGATACACTGCACAGCCACACCCATCACTAGGTCTCATTATTGGGGTAGGGTTTATATTTAACAAATGCATAGAAATCCTGCTAGGGCTTATTTTTTGGAAATAGGTCTTATTTTTAAGGAAACACAGTAGTTACATCATGATTTCTGGCTGAATCCAAATTATGGTTCTTTTCAGCATTATTACTGTGCAAATATAGTTTACTCTGAAGCCAAAGATAACATTTCCTTCGTGAACAATTTTGTTTTTCCTTGGATTCATGAAATGCTTCATTTTAAAATCTCATTTTTCCCATTACAGGTGTGGTGCTCACACCTGTAATCCTAGCACTTGGGAGGATAAGGTGGGTGGATTGCTGCCCCTCTCTACTAAAAATAGAAAAAATAGCCAGGCTGCTGTGGCAGCACCTGTAGTCCCAGTTTCTGGGGAGGCTGAGACACAAGGATCAAGCGAGCCCAGGAGTTTGAGGTTGCTGTGAGCTATGACACCATGGCACTCTCTTCCCAGGGTGACTGAGTGAGAGACTCTGTCTCCAAAGAAATAAAAAATGTGCTCATTTTTCTTCAAACCTTTGGCTAAGTCATTTTTTTTTTTTACCCTGGAGACATCCATCCTAGAAGCCTTCCATCACACTCAGTGTGGTCCCAGGGCAGCCTCAAGGCTTACCACCTGGGAGTTCCTATCACTTCTCTTCTGTGTTTAATTTCATCATCTTCTTTCTTGATTTTATTCTTCATTTGGGAGGAACATATCCTATAGTTGTTCCCTAAGAAAGGTATATAGATGTAAGGTTTTTAAAACTTAACGTTTCTAAAAGCATCTTTTTTTTTTTTTTGAGACAGAGTCTTGCTTTGTTACCCTGTGTAGAGTGTAGTAGCATTAGCGTAGCTCACTGCAGCCTCAAACCCCTGCCTCAGCGCTCCTCCCCCCCACCCCACCAATTAGGTGTGACTACAGGCACATACTACCATGCCCAGCTAATTTTTTTTATTTTTAGTAAAGACAAGGGTCATTTGAGCTCAAATGATTCTCCCAAAGTGCTAGGATTATAAACATGTAAAAGCATCTTTATTCTATGCTCATACTTTATTTTTGTTTGACATTAAATCATTTGGGGTTAAAAATTGGTTTTCCGGCTCGGCGCCTATAGCTCAACCGGCTAAGGCGCCAGCCACGTACACCTAGGGTGGCGGGTTCAAATCCCCAGCCTGGACCCGCCAAACAACAATGACGGCTGCAACCAAAAGATGGCCGGGCATTGTGGCGGGCGCCTGTGGTCCCAGCTACTTGGGAGGCGGAGGCAGGAGACTCGCTTGAGCCCAGGAGTTGGAGGTTGCT